CCAGTGCTAGCGTCAGACTGAGTTCCCCTGTGTCACACACACACACACACACACACACACACACACACACACACACACACACACACACACACACACACACACACACACACACACAATAAGATTCTTTGGGCAGGGAGAGAGGTGACCTAGTAGCGAGTAGCCAAGAAACGGGGGCCAGGAGCTAAGACTCGACCCCTGCAACCACAAATTGTCGAGTACATACACACACCACTTTATTATGCCTGAGGCACATAAAAAATCTCCTTTACAATAGTCTGGAGGTCACACCGATGTTACAGCTACATAAAAGGCGACATCATGTAGATTTAACCTAAGATAACTCAGTAAAGTCAAGCAATGTGACTTATCTTTTGTGACAGTTAACCCCAGGCCTATATAAGCCAGGTATAGGCTGTTAGGTCCAACTTTCTTGCCATAAACACGTCATTTCAATATAAAAAAAGTCAGAGAAAACTTTGAACCAGCTCGTTACACTGTGAAGGAAAAAATCTTGTAGCTGATTATGTGAGAAGGTTAGCTGGCAGGTAACTTAGCTTCTCTGACGAAGTTAAAAGCTTAAAAATGATTCTTGTATATTGAGCGCTTCCCGGAGCTGCCCCGGGCGATGATACGGGCTACCAAGGCCACAGGGGGTGGCCCAGGCGATGATACGGGCTACCAAGGCCACAGGGGGTGGCCCAGGCGATGATACGGGCTACCAAGGCCACAGGGGGTGGCCCAGGCGATGATACGGGCTACCAAGGCCACAGGGGGTGACCCAGGCGATGATACGGGCTACCAAGGCCACAGGGGGTGGCCCAGGCGATGATACGGGCTACCAAGGCCACAGGGGGTGGCCCAGGCGATGATACGGGCTACCAAGGCCACAGGGGGTGGCCCAGGCAATGATACGGGCCACCAAGACCACAAGGGGTGGCCCTGGAGATGATACGGGCTACAAAGGCCACAGGGGGTGGCCCAGGCGATGATACGGGCTACCAAGACCACAGGGGGTGGCCCAGACGATGATACAGGCTACCAAGGCCACAGGGGGTGGCCCAGGCGATGATGCGGGCTACCAAGTCCACAGTGGGTGGCCCAGGCGATGATACGGGCCACCAAGGCCACAAGGGGTGGCCCTGGAGATGATACGGGCTACAAAGGCCACAGGGGGTGGCCCAGGCGATGATACGGGCCACCAAGGCCACAGGAGGTGGCCCAGGCGATGATACGGGCCAAAAAATCCCAGGGCGCCCCAGCAGGGCTCCAGTAGGGCCCCAGGCGGAACCTATGAGACGGAAATGGACACAGTTATCAGATTTTTGGCTCGTGTCAGGAAATATAAAACTTTTTTTGAAATGTCAGCTGTTTGACCTGAATGACGTGAATGTTCCATGACCTGTGTTAAACCCACCCACACATCCACCCACCCACACACCCACCCATCCACAAGCCCACCCACACATCCACCCACCCACAAACCCACCCACACACCCACCCATCCACAAGCCCACCCACACACCCACCCACCCACAAACCCACTATTACGCAGTGTCCTGTGGTGAATAATGTATAACAAGAAATACTTGATATATAATGTCATTATCAGGGATATGTTCTGAAACCGGACGCATAATATTCCTGGTCAGTCGGTCAGAGAGGAGAAAGTGATGTGTCTTGGGCAGTAGGTGAAGCACAACAGATTGAGAAACAAGTACTTGTGTAAGTAGGTGAGTTTATTTTTGTAGTTTATACTTTAGGTTAGTTTATTTTTAAGTTCTCTCATGTTTACCTGTAAGACTCTAGTGTGCAGAGACCTGTTTAAGTTTAGGGAGAGTCGTGTGGTGTTTTTACCTGCTGGTAGACAGACCTGCAGAAAGAGGGGGGTGTCATGGAGCCTCCTTGTTTATTAATGTTCATATATTTTGTTTTAGTCACTAGTAGCTGTGTACTAGTGAGGTGATGTTAGTACTGAGTAAAGGTGAACTGGAGTGTGGTGACGTAGCTGTGTACTAGTGAGGTAATGTTAGTACTGAGTAAAGGTGAACTGGAGTGTGGTGACGTTGGTTGTAGTCGAGTAGACTGTAGCTTGTATATACGTTACTTTAATATTAATATATTATATTTTTGTATAGGCGAGTTTTTGTATCCTTCCTCATAATACATTGACCATTTATATTTATGTTTCATAATTTGTATGAATGTACAAGTTGGCCCTAAAGTGCTCTCTTTTTCTATTTTAAATATTGTAAATATTTCTTTATTAGCCACGACTTTTATTTATGTTACGCAGACAAAAGCGTAACACCCACCCACATACAAACCCACCCACACACCCACAAACCCACCCACACAACCACCTACACACCCACACACAAAAAAAACACCCATGCACACACATCCACACACACACACACACACACACACACACACACACACACACACACACACACACACACACACACACACACACACACACACGGTGGACAGAGACAGGATGCTCCAGAGATGGGACACAGAAACAAGAGGTCACAATTGGAAGCTGAAGACTCACATGAGTCAAAGGGATGTTAGGAAGTATTTCTTCAGTCATAGAGTAGTTAGGAAAGTGGAATAGTCTGGCAAGCGATGTAGTGGAGGCAGGAACTATACATAGTTTTAAGACGAGGTATGATGAAGCTCATGGAGCAGGGGGAGAGAGGACCTACTAGCGGTCGGTGAAGAGGCAGGGCCAGGAGCTGAGTCTCGACCCCTGCAACCACAATTAGGTGAATTAGGTGAGTACACACCCACACACCCACCCGCACACCAAGACGCAGTAGGCTCCATACAAAGTTGTAAGAAAGGGAAGGGGCAGTCCTGGAGGCTGGAGGCAGTAAATCACACGACATTGTTAATCTGATAATGTAATAAGCTTGCACAGTATTGGTGGTGAGTGCAGTATAGTGTATGGTGCAGGATGGTGAGTGCAGTATAGTGTATGGTGCAGGATGGTGAGTGCAGTATAGTGTATGGTGCAGGATGGTGAGTGCAGTATAGTGTATGGTGCAGGATGGTGAGTGCAGTATAGTGTATGGTGCAGGATGGTGAGTGCAGTATAGTGTATGGTGCAGGATGATGAGTGCAGTATAGTGGCAGCAACATTCACAACATCTCACTTGACGAGCAAAAATTGACTTCACAAGACTGAAAAAACCTCTCTCAAAATTCATGATTGTGACGCAATAAGCAACTGGAACCCAGGAGCCTTAGTACCACTGGAGCCTTAGTACCACTGGAGCCTTAGTACCACTGGAGCCTAGTACCACTGGAGCCTAAGTGCCACTGGAGCCTTAGTACCACTGGAGCCTTAGTACCACTGGAGCCTTAGTACCACTGGAGCCTTAGTACCACTGGAGCCTTAGTACCACTGGAGCCTTAGTACCACTGGAGCCTTAGTACCACTGGAGCCTTAGTACCACTGGAGCCTAAGTGCCATTGAAGCCTTAGTACCACTGGAGTCTCAGTGCCACTGGAGTCTTAGTACCACTGGAGTTTCAGTACCACTGAAGTCTCAGTACCACTGAAGTCTCAGTACCACTGGAGCCTCACTGCCACTGGAGCCTCACTGCCACTGGAGCCTCACTGCCACTGAGCCTCACTGCCACTGGAGCCTCAGTGCCACTGGAACAATGGAAATCTTTAATTATCTTTCTGGCTCTCCAGCGTGTCCTGAGGGACGATCCCTCGCCTTGGATTACCTAATTTATTCTCATTTTGGGAAATTTCGAGAAAATTGCATTAAAAATTAAAGGTCTGCTTATTCTGTGTTTGATATTTTGAAGGTGGCAGAAGAAGGAATTATTTTATTAATTTAGTAAACCAGCTGATTACCTGGTTTATTGTCCACAACACAACACACACACCACACACACAAACACACAACACACCAACACACACACCCACACACACACACACACACACACACACCACACACCACACCACACACACACACACACACACACACACACACACACACACACACACAAACACACACACACACACACACACACACACACACACACACACACACACACACACACACACACACACACACACACACACACACACACACACACAGATAAGTCACTGGGACAGTCACAGAAGGTGCAAGCAGTAGGGGTGTGGCTTCCACTCAGCTGCATGTTGCTGCCAGCAGATGATCCACAAGCTTGACTGTGAGACACTACTGTCATGGATGACAGCTGTGAGACACTACTGACGTGGATGACAGCTGTGGACACTACTGACATGGATGACAGCTGTGAGACACACTGACATGGATGACAGCTGTGAGACACACTGCATGGATGACAGCTGTGAGACACACTGACATGGATGACAGCTGTGAGACACTACTGACATGGATGACAGCTGTGAGACACTACTGACATGGATGACAGCTGTGAGACACTACTGACATGGATGACAGCTGTGAGACACTACTGACATGGATGACAGCTGTGAGACACTACTGACATGGATGACAGCTGTGAGACACTACTGACATGGATGACAGCTGTGAGACACTACTGACATGGATGACAGCTGTGAGACACTACTGACATGGATGACAGCTGTGAGACACTACTGACATGGATGACAGCTGTGAGACACTACTGACATGGATGACAGCTGTGAGACACTACTGACATGGATGACAGCTGTGAGACACTACTGACATGGATGACAGCTGTGAGACACTACTGACATGGATGACAGCTGTGAGACACTACTGACATGGATGACAGCTGTGAGACACTACTGACATGGATGACAGCTGTGAGACACTACTGACATGGATGACAGCTGTGAGACACTACTGACATGGATGACAGCTGTGAGACACTACTGACATGGATGACAGCTGTGAGAACACTACTGACATGGATGACAGCTGTGAGACACTACTGACATGGATGACAGCTGTGAGACACTACTGACATGGATGACAGCTGTGA